CAGGAAGGACGGGGAGGTCGAGGCACATGTGGGCTGTTTGTTCTTCTGAGGCTTTAGGGCTGGCTGACCCTCTGCTCTCAGAGTCTGGGCTGTGATGGCGGCTCTCTCAGGGGTACAGCCTCCCAAGGAGAGAACAGGGGCCTGAGAAAACCAATTTGCATATCTAGGTGGTCCAGTGCCACCTAGCAGAGGATTTTCATAGCACTCTATGAATCCCCTGCAGGAGGGGTTCCTGGATTTCTGTTTAAAAACACCTCACTCCCCTGCTGCCTCCACCATCCTGGCATCAGAGCACCACCCCCCTGGCTGAATGACACCATGCCATGCCAGTCAGGGTCCTGATGGTCCTCAAATGGGGATGAAGTGTGGGGAAATCAGAGTGGGGTAGCCAGCAGCCACCCCACAACTGGGGCTCTCCCTTCCTGATCCACTGGTGTTTTCTCTCTTGGCAAAACCCAAGCCAAAGGGCATGGGGAGGGTGGTCAAGGGAGCCACTGATGGAAGCCAGCAAGGGGGCCCAGAGCACGGTCTGGAAGGTAAGGGTGGATCCTGTCCATTTCTCAGACACCCCCTGCCTCTCGGGTTTTCACTCTCCGGGGGAATCTAGGAGATCATCTAGTCCAACTCTGTCTCCCACCTGTTGTGGGAAACCCCTCGTCAACATTCCCAACCACCTTCCTCTAGACTAGTCTCTGCTCATATTCTGGTGGTGCTGACACCGTGGAGAAGCTCAGGGATTGTGAGATGGAACTGAATTAAGTCTCAGGGTCCCGGGTCACAGGAGGCTGGCACCACTTTTCTTCTCCCCTGATTTTTGTTTTGCTGGAACCAGGCATCTGCTACAGTGCCTTTCCCATGTACCTGGGGGAGTTGGCTCCCAAGAACCTTAGGGGGCATGCTGGGAGCAATGACCGAGGTTGTTGTCATCATGGGAGTCTTCCTAGCGCGGATCTTCAGCCCGCAGGCCATCCTGGGCAACCCTACAGGTACCAGCAGCACCCCGAGGTCCAAGGGGAAGAGGGTCCAGCCATTCGCCCAGCTGCGCCTGTGTTCCTGGCAGATTGAGTCCGTTGAGGCCGAGGGGCGATCTTTGGGTTGGGTAATGTGTGGCTTGGTGGACATGGGTGACCTTGACGAGCACAGTTTTGATGAGTGAGGGGGACACATTGTGTTTAGAAATGGATGGGGAAGACGCAGGGACAAGAGGCACTCACAGCTCTTGGGAGATTTGCTGTAAAGGGAAGGAGAGAAGTTGGGGGGAGCTGGAAGGGGAAGCAGGCTGAAGCGGAGAGGTTTTTGTCAGCACGCAGCGCGGTTGCTGTCACGTGGGTGGGTGTAGCAGTCGTAGACGTTTCCTTCAGGTTGCTTCTGTTTTCTCAATGAAGTAGGAG